ACGCGTGTCGTGCTGCCAACGCCGCCTGTGTTCGGTGAGCGCTTCTCAGCTGCGGTGTTGACTGAACCAGGTTAAGATGACTTAATCTCTCCTCTTTAGTTTCCTCAACTGAGCGGATACAATTGTTTACAGTATCCCAGTGAATCAGACAGATTTATGTTAAATGTTTCCTTTAGTGAGCTATTTTTTTTTAAACAGATGGGTTCCTCCATTTAGTTCAATACATAGCATTGGGAAATTGAAGGAGCAAGAGAACAGGAGTGAGCAGGAAGAGCAAAAGCAGAAAAAAGGCAGCTTCACCAAATACTTCTGTCAGCTGTATTTTGTCTTTTTCAGGCAAAATCAGTCTTAACGTAAGTATAAAGTTGGGGGTGGGGGTGGTGTTGGGGTTTTTGTTGTCATTTTTTAATGAACGATACTGAAAGATCTCAGCTTTCCCTGGCAAATGCATTCCACACTAGTGGAATAACTTTCAAGCAATGCCACTGCTAAACACTAGGTGAGTGCTTTCTATGGGAAACTCCAGTGCCCACATGAACAGCTCAAAGGAAACACCAGGATAACCAAGTTAGTGGCACAGAGGTTTTCCCATACGCTGTCCTGTACAATTAGATGTGTTCATAACCAGAGGGGAAATAAAACCCAAAAGCATGCTGATGTCATGTTCTTCCCCTTCACTGGTTACGTGGGAAAACATGCACAGAGCTGCAAAGCAGATAGGTTTTCTAGAGCCAAGACCTCAACAAGGAGGTTGAGACAAATTTCTCCAAGCATAGCAAGAAAAGAGAATAAGGAAAAATTAGTATTTAAACTAGTTTATATTTCTTTATAAATATTCAATTCTCTTTGCAAAAGTGAGCAGTTGAGGGAAATACACAAATACAAACTAAGTCAGAAGTCATTAAGCAATGGATTAAGCATTCGGGTTAGTTTAAATGGACAGTAGTCCATGAACTGCTCACGTAGGCTCCTCATGTGATGAATACTTTCTTCCTCATGCTATCAATCATAAAAAATGTATGTTTTAACCTCCCTAGAAACTATTGGTGTCTTATAGGTGCTGAATTGTACTCTGTCAATACTAGCATGGAAGCTTTATGAAATACACTCAGTGAAAAAAAAAAAAATCATCAGCATGTAAGAAGTTAGTTTCAAAAAACTCATTTCTAAAGTTTGCCTGTTCTAAAACACAGGGGGGGAAAAAAATCCTGATATAGCATTCATCTAGCATCTTGAAATTTCAGGCAACATGTTGAAAACAGACTGCTTTTGGGTATGTTTGCCTGACAGAACACAACATTTTCACTGGCTCTTTCTTCTTTGTGCCACTTCATGTGACTCAGTGAGTCTTCCCATATGTCTTAGTGGCATTGAAGAGCACAAAAGAGAAGGATTATTATCTTCCCCCTCTCCTTGGCCCCTCAAGCTGGAAGGCTCTCCCATATCTTTCAATTATGATTTGCAACTCTATTTGCATTCTTGCCTTGGAATATTCAAAGTTAATCAGTATTCACCTTGTCTAGGTCGACTTCCTCTGGCCACAGGCAGAACTAGGATCAGCACAGAGTTACAGGTCATTATCATACATTTCAGGATTAAGAGCAGAGAGGGTCATCCCAGAACACTTGCAGTTCAGAGGATCTGGTGGTTCTTAATGATGTGCTGGACAAAATAAACACTGAACTTATAGTACAGCTCTGGCACAAAATACCTGACACAGACATCAGCTTCTCGGATTGATCAGTAAGTTTGGGGATAGATAGCTCTCTTCATCTTACATTTCTAAGTTGTTGGATTTTTTTCCAGGTTCCTATTTAGAGATATATGTAGTCTTGTATACCAGCCCTGGGAACTACTCCACAGTTTTCCTACAAAAAACAATTCTCTTCTTTTGCTGACTCTAGCCCAAATCTGTGGTGAGAGAGACCGAAGCAAGAAATCTCAGGGAAGAATTTTTATTGTCCCTATTTTCAAGCCTTTACTCTGAGTAGATTTGGACCATAGAAACAAAAAAGTTCTTGTGTATCTTGCTGCATTTTAGCTGATAATTGAGAATGGGTTTTATCTGTAGAAGGGGAACTAAACTCAAAGGGACCAGCAGGTGGGCACAACACAGCCCCACAGTTCCCTAACGTACATGCTAGAGCACGAGTCACTAAACCAGTTGAATTAAAATTGTGAACAGCTGCAAACAAACTTTTGCAGATGTTACTTGTTACATACTTCACACCCATAATTTGCAAGTCAAGTAATGCCAATATTTACGGACTGTAAGTGCATAATTATGTTGCCATGGAACATAATATCCCCCCTGTAACTCAGGCTCAAGATAAAGAGATGTAATTCACTTAAAAGCAGTGTTCTGGTTGAGCCTTTACAACCTATCATAATGTACAAGCTACTGCAACTTCTACGCTCATCGTTACGTTGGTGAGTAGTTGGTGACTTCAGTGAGACTCCTCCCATCAAAAGCAGCTTTCAGAAACACCCTTATTCACTACGTCAGTGGCATCTACCATATTTATTACAGAGGCTCAGAAGTTTCAAGAACTGGACTTGAACATTAGAGTACAATGGTCAGGTTTCCAAAGCACAAACATGGGCCAGAGTCCTGCTGACTACCAACTGGAAAAAATACTTGAGCTTCTGGATCTACTAACATTTAACAATACCACCAGTTGCCTCCTGAGTTACAAAGCTCTTTACTTTCCAGCTCGGGGTGATGCAAAGGGCTATACCTCTAACATCACCACCTAGCAGAAAATAATACTGTGCCTCCCAGCTTCTACAAGGGGGAAAAACAAAAGAAAAGTGCTGTTGAGGTAGCGAAGTCCTATGAGGGATTTTTTTTATTATCATTTACTTACGGTCAAGTTAACTCTTATTTCATTATTTTTCATTCCCATAATTAAAATCCCTTAAAATGCAAGTGAGATTAATAATCTGTATCTATAGTTTAGGAAGATAATTAAAAGTGTCTATAATTAGCATCAGAACAAGCTTTACAAGCTTTTTCAGTAACTCCATGTATGATTAGACAACATTAAAGTTTAAAATCTGAATTGCAATTACAGCAACTTCTACTTGTAGGTTCACTGCATTAGTAAAGAGTCAAAAAGCCTATTTAATTCTCATCTTTCCCACTTGAGTTAATTTTATTCCCAACTGCAAATTTTCTGGAGTTGAAACTATTTTCTCTCACATAGTATGATATTGCTATAAGGATTTTTCCCCACACAATTTTGTGATAGATATATTCAAAATTAAGTTTTCATATAAAAGCTGAAGTATAAAAATTAAACAAGAAACACATAAAATGCTATTATAGAATAGTATTTGAAACATATAAAGACTTTAACATTTAAAAAAAAAAACATTCACTTTTACCAGAACACCTACAGCTGTTCTATGCTGCTAAAAATACAGCACCAAAAGGTACAGGTAAATTTGCATTCCCTTTACTTCTGTTTCTCAGTCTATTGTAACATGCTCAGCAATAGGAAGTTGATTTTTAAAAATTACTATTTTATCAGCAGAAACTGAGGAACTCTCATCTTAAAGTAATACTGTTTCAGTTCTGGAAAGACCCTCCTCACTTATCAACAGCCTGACTTCAAATTCTGGAGGCAAGGGCTTCCCATTCTGTCCAAAGTCACAAGGCAAAAAGAAGCAATACCTCTTTTCCAAAGGGCATTAAAACTGACAGTACTTAATGGTTGTGTCCTCCCAAATGAAAATATTCCCTTGCATGTTTTGAGAAATAAACCAAATATGTTCTCCCTACTCCACCCACAAATCCACATTTTTAAATGGAAAATAATTATATATCAACACAGCTGGGAGAAAGAAGAAATCTTCTGGTTCTAGAAAACCAAAGAAAAACCTTTAAAAAATTGCAAGGGAAACTATCACTTAACACAATTAAATAGCTACCTTTATGAGACATTTCAGAGTGTAATTTAATTATTAGAATTATTTAGAAAAAACAGGGAAAATATTAAAAAAACCTTAGAACTGTTAGACTGTGGAGTACATTCTAGACACATACTTAAGACTTTATGTTATAACATGGAACTCCCAGGTCTTGCAAAACTTCTGGAAGTCAAAGGGAAAGGAGAAATACAAGACCATTTCACTCTCCATTTCCCTCTCTTCCTTATTACACCAGTTCTGGATTTCAGACAGCTTCTCTCACCACCAAACAATAGGAATGTCTGATGCAATAAGTGTATGAAAAGGCATTAAGCATTAGAAATGGGTATCCTGGACCATCAAGTTATAAAAACTTGCATTTGATGGACACTACAGGGATCCCACTATTACAAACTTTCACCTAACAGCTAAACAACTTTTGCTGTGTGCACATAACTGCCTCAAAATGCTGAGTAACTATAACAAGTAAGATAAACCACATCTAACATCAGCAAAATGAATAAGCTCCATTCACAGTACAAATGGGCACACTGATACTGAATACTACATAATTTAGGTAGGATTGAAGGTTACTTTTCTTTAATTGAAAGAAAATCTCACTTTTCTACAAGCTATAAAGGCACTTGTCCTTATAAAGAGCATAAAAATGCCAGATCTGAAGTTTTCAGAAAGATTCAGTCCTGTAACACAATAGATATTTCTTGGGAGACTGGAGGAAGAAAAAAATTTTAAAACCCACAAAACCAAAACCCCAACCCCCCCCCAGCCTACACAGCATTTAATTGTGCTTTGCTTTAATGATCACCTAGAAGGGAAGGAATCTAGGTTGCATGTTACCATTGTGCAATCCCAGACTTGTATCTGAAAAGTGGAATTCCCAGTAACTGATACAAAAGTTTTGTACTTGAAGGTTTTTCATTTTCAGATATCATCTTAAAAGCCAAAACAGTAATCTCAAGTGCAGATATAAACTGGGACAAAAGCCCCTCTTACACATACAGAAAGAAACATCAGTACTGAAGAGTTCATTAAAATAAGAACTTTGTCTTGGTCTCAGTATTACTCACCCGCTTTGGCCCACTAAAAATCTTCCTGGTGTTTTCCTTGGATTTATCACCTTGTTTATTTGTGGATTTCTTATTGCCTTCAGGCACACCAGATGCATCCTCTGAAAACTCCATAAGATCTGTAAAAGGTAAAAACAGACATGAAACAATCATACTGAAAGCTGTTGAACTGCTAGAGCATTTCTTGCATCTGGCATTTCCACATGAATAGCTTCTGAAATTATATCATAAACAATCTTCATCAGAGAAACCAGCTTTACAGCCAAACCTTTCTGGATGGAGTTCAGGTTTACTGACTGGGCTGTCACAATACATACAAAATACATTTCAAGGTACAGTCTCAATTACTATAGCACCTCTTGTCCATTGTGTAAGCTGCAAGTTACTATTACCCATTTTCTACTCCTGTGAACCCCCCAGGTTACCTTTGTCATGTCCTCACTTATGGCTTACTGCTACAACTCTGAGCAGCAGCTGAACTAAACAGTAGATGGGGTTCTTCAAAAGTGTGAGATTAAGAGATTCAGAAGAAGAGCATTTCCCACTACAATTACCAGACTGAAGATTTGATCCTACTTCACTTCTCATAAAGGCAGCCCATCTACATTTGCTTATTCTGCTATAAACAGGACTTAAGAAACAATAGAGTGATCAGCTCAGAAAGGAGTGAGCTAGAAGGAACTTTTGAAATGGCTTTTCAATGTACTCAATACTTGCCTTATCAGTAGCTCTAGGACTCAGTTTTAGACTGTAAATCTGCAATTCACTGATCTAATTAAATTCTTGTCCTATTTTTCCTCTTTCAACTTGTGTTGTACTTGAAGCATTATCCCTTGGAGACCAGCTTATGTTCTTTCCCTTGGCACAAACCAGCGGTTACCATAAATTTCAAGACAGAAATAAAGACAGGCACATTGAAGCACTGCTTCATCTGATAAACACTTCAGAGAGACAATCTCTACCAGAGAAGCTGCTGCTATTTGAAAACTGCACTGCAAAAACACAAGCAGGTTGGATCAGTTACTCTAATCCCAAGTGCACTCACAACCAGTAAACAGGACTGGCCAAGCCCCTAGGTAAGGAGGCAATCAAAAGCAATCAAGCAAGCAAATTTCTAATGGCACTGGCAAGGATGCAAAACTTATTTTGCTCTGAGCATGTAAGTATTCTTAAAATAAAGCTCAAAAGTTCCTTAAATTATAGTAAATTTCCACAGGCTTGGCACCACCAGGGCAGGCAAGATGCCCACTGCAAGACACCTACCAGTACCAGTCTCTCACATCCCAGCTTGCTGGTTTTCAGTTTAGTTGTACGATGTCAGCACAGGAACTTAAGAACACAACATGCCCAATCCCTCTGAAAATAACTGAGTTCAAAAGATGCTTTTGATAAAATTAGTCTAACAAAGGAAAATACTGCAGAGCAATTCTAACATACTTAAATAAAGGAAAACTACCTTCAAATCTATCTAAAAGTCAACTTAGTCCTTTGCTGGAACTTACCAATTAAAGGAGTGAAATCAAATTCATTTGATACCCGTTCTTACAAATACTGAAATACATCTGAAGAAGACAGGCTCTGAACAAAATTCCCACAGAAAGTCAAACCAACATAACTGGACCCTCCTGTTGTAGAATTAAAGGCTGGAATTAACTCACTTGACTGAAGTAATTATGAACACATAGATCACTCTAGAGATGAAAGATGTGTCTTCACCCACTAAATCAGCACAATTTGTGCCTTGCACTACGACCTGGAGCTGCTATTGTAGTTAATAATGATTAATGGTGCTCAATATCAACTAAGCCACAATTTGAAAATCATCTAAGTTTCTTCATTTGAATTCTACTCCTGTGTGATCCTCAATAATCCTTAAATTAGGTAACTTTAAATTCAAAGAAATATCCTGATAAAACCATTTCAGCTCCTATTTAAATAGGATCATTTTGCATTTTTGATGTTGCTAACGTATCACTGTTATGATTAGTGTCATAAGATAATCTAGATTGTTGGTATTTGAGCAATGCTCTTTGAGGCCTTCAACATATCCTAAAAGGACTCTGCATACGCATTTTACCAGATCTTCAAATCTAAAATAAATAGGGAGTGGTGGTGAAGTTTTTTGTTAACATTTACTGAGCCAGGCAAAGACAAATAGTTTGGTAAGCAGTGATACTAATGAAGTGTGTTTTCCACTGGTTTCTCTTGTATGAACATTTGTTCCCCCCCCTCCTCACAGAAGAGATGAATATATTGACCTTCTCCTCAAAATGGGAACATGTAAAGCTTTTCCTCCTCTATCCAACCACTTTCAAGGCATTTATATAAGCTTTCAGCTAATTCACCTTTCTCAGCAAAAACTGCAAAGATGTTCAAAAAAACAACTACAAGGCAACACCACAGTAAAGTTCCTGGGAAAAACCAACCCAGTTTTGTTTTAGCACCTGAGGGTAATTCTGCAGAAGATTCTGAAGTCCAAAGAGGACTCTGCCTTTGAGGACTTCAGTGTACTCTGAAACGGCTAAAAATATTTACCCAATTAAGGTGATACAGTTTTTGAGGAGTGTAAAGGAAATAAAAAATAGGGCAAGTCTGCTAACCAGCAATGAACTGAGAGCTAGATGCTGATCTACAAAACTATTTTCCAAAAAGGTTATAGCAATCTCATCTTGATCACTGAAAAAATGACTGCATGACACAAAGGTTATTACATTGTATATCAGAGCCGATTTAGAAAACAAAAGGCTAGGCTACAATACTCACACTACAATAATAGGATAACTGCTACTATAATTTAAATAAAGAATACTGTAGTTTATCATTCCTATATGGCATATGAGATCCAGCAAGGAAGAAAGCAAACTAAAAATATGCAGGTTGGAGAAGGTACATCTTCATACCTTCCTTTAGCAGGTGGTTCCTGGGCAACTGCTCTATCCTATTTATGTCAATCTACGGACGAGATATGCAAATGTTCCATTTTAGTCAGCATGCTTTTTTATTCCTGTCACTTTCTGTATCAACTGTGTTGCCATTAGCCAATATGAAATGCAGTAAAACAAGCATTAACATAGCCTGGGTGTCACAGCTGAAAAAACAGGAAATAAAGGTCTTTAGAAAAAGACAGAAACAAACTGATAGTACGCTTAAATCCAGAAGTGTAACACCAACACAGAACAACAGGGGTTGGAAGGGACCTTCAGAGATCCATCTACTCCAAACCCTCTGCTAAAGCAGGGTCACATAGGGCAGGTTGCCCAGGATCATATCCAGGCAAGTTTTGAAAGTTTTTGTCATCATCCCAAAAATACAGATTTGCTCTTCAAAACTGAAGCTTAAAATTATCCTTGGTTAAGCCTTACTCTATCATTAGTTGAGATTTCTCTTGGATACAATTCCCCATTGTTTAATATAGTCAAGTAATAAGGTTATTTTCCTCTGGGATTAAAAGCTCCTCTTTCCCAGTCATCCTGTATTCTGGTAGTGACATGACACAGGTAACATTCTGGATCTAGCAGAGCCACATCAGTAATTTTAGCCCCTGGCATTCTGGCAGACTACAGCTGGGAGGCTCACGAGTGAAAAAGGCTTCTGCTTCACTGGGCTGCTACACTGACTAATACAAAAGAATTTTGAATTGCAACAGGGGAAAAAAAAAAAAGAAAGGCAAGTAGAACTCAAAAGCTTCACCCAAAATCTCAGGCATATAAACTTAGGAAGCATCTTCACCAGAAAGAAAGGTCTTTGAACAGCCTCTAGGAATTTAAAAGCCAGAGCATCTTACGGTTTGTGTTTTTTGGCAGTTTTATTTGTTTGGCTTTTTAACCATGTCAGCAGGGAACCCTATTGTAAAAGTGAACAGCAGAAAAGATTTCAGTGAAACTCTAACTACAACTGAATTTATCTACCTTGCGTATTTTACTCCACTAACAACATCTAGTCTTCAGTGCTTCCTTAAATTTCATTTGCAAAAATATTTAAATATGTGTTATTAAACTTACTTTCCCTCCACGGTGAGCTACCAGACTGGAAGGAATACTGCATTTCCAGTTCAGGTAGGAAATTTTTGCATGATATATTTTAGAATCTTAGCATAAAACATTTCATAAAAAGAGGCTTAGACTGTGGTAAATCAGTATTACAGCAAAATTTTTCTAAGACTGTAACAGGAAGCACCAGATCTCTTGAAAAACTGACTAATAAAACAGTCTTTACACAGAAAACATCAAAATCAGTCTTAGGAACTTCCAAAGCCAGAATTCAGAGAAGTGATCTGGCATCTCATCTGTCAACCTGAAAGAGGAACACTGGGGTTTTATCTGTAGAGTTATTCATTAGTACAAAAAACCCAGAAGAGTACACACAGAATTCAGGTACCATTAGCACCTCTCAGTACTGCTTGTAACTTCAGGAAAAAGTTTTATTGTGTGAGGTTTTCTGAAAGCTTAGATTCTGAGGCTTAGATTGGAAACTGGAATTTTCCACAGACACAGAAGTAGCTCCTTCCCAGTGTGTAAAGACAACACCTCGCAGCAATGTCACATTTTCCCCCAGATTCAGGCTTAGATCCAGAAGTCCTTGATAAATTCTCAGACTCAGCACTTAAGGACCTTAATACGCCTGTTCTGAGTAATCACAACGTTCAAAGTTTTCAAAGGTCTGAGAGAAAACAGCATGAAATATATTAAGGAGTCCAACAAATTTTAGGAAATCCCTCTATTTTTTACAATCTGTACTAAAAAACTGAACTCAGGAATGTGTTGCAACTCAGGGAAA